GAAAGGAAGGGAGATCAGGGATAACCCTGATCTCTGGGGGCAGTTCATTCCAGAGGGTGGGAGCTCCCACAGAGAAGGCCCTCCCCCTTGGGGTCGCCAGCCGGCACTGTCTGGCCGACGGCACCCTGAGGAGACCCACTCTATGGGAGCGTACAGGTCGATGGGAGGTAATCTGCGGCAGGAGGCGGTCTCGAAGGTAATGATGTATAAAATTCTGCAGGAAGTCCATCTGGGCCTGGAGTCTTATCCTTTTTTTGCCTTTTTATGGCTTCTATAATCTCCATCATTGATATTTTTCCATTTAGTATATTTCGAATATTCTCCGGAATTTTTGGCAAGTCTGCTTTTTTTAAATACAGCTGTATTTTTTTTCTTTAGGAACTTCCTCTGCCTTCTAAAGTGTCTCATAGTAGTCTTTAATGATTTTTTTTCATTGCGTCATTTTGGAACTGTAATTCTCCTTTTAAATCTTGTAGCTTATTTATCATTCTTTTTTCTCTTTCTTTTTTCAGTCTATATGCTAACACTCTCCCCAACTTATTGGCGTTTTCAAAGAAATTCTGTTTGGTCCATTTAATCTGTTGAGCATTATTTCCGCCTCAGCCAGGTTTAATTTATGCTTTATTATCTCCATTTATTTCCCAAGCACTTTCTTTTGTGGATCTTGTTCTGTTTCTTGCATTGGTAGGCATTGAAGAGGCAGAATAACAAACAGGTACTTTTTATTTCAGGCTGAACAGAACTCAAAACAATTCATTTTGATGAATTTATACATTCACCCTGGGGCATTGTCAGCCAATGAATGCAATGTATTTTCCCGCTCAAATGCATCCTAGTCAGCCCTTGCAGACAGCAAGCCTGGTCCAGCAGGCCACGTGGTCTGCTGACTCTTTCAGGGCAGCTCCTTGTACCTGTTCCCAATTAAGCTCAGTACATAACACCCCTCTCCTCTTGGATCTTTAGCACATACTTCCTATTTTACAATACTAAACACGTTCCCACAACACACATTATAACAGTCAATAATACACAACATTATAGGTTCTCCAACACAATATTAAAATACTATGCATTTCCATTTCAAGGAGCATACATTAGCATTTCAGTTTGCAATTAAAAAAATACATAAGCATTTTCTTTAAGCTTGCAGTGACAGAAACCTT